GAAATACAATTGAACATCTAACCGTAATTACAAGTTTAAGGACATATATCACGATAATGAAACAAATACACATTTAAGATTGGATAATAAATTTATGCAAAATATTTTTTAAGGAAAAAACTACAGATTATAAGTTAATAAGCCAGTGAAAAAAATCGCTGAATTGATACGAAAATGTGTACTAAAAGATAACGGAAAGGTAACTGAAAGACGACGGAAAGGTCACTGAAAGACGACGGAAAGGTCACTGAAAGTCGACTGAAAGTTAACGGAAAGGTCACTGAAACATAGCTGAAATGTGTCCGCTGAATGGTGACTGAAAAGTATCTGAAATATGACTAAATGGCAACTGAAAGGTCATTGAAATGTACCTGCCATTCAGTGGCTGGATGGCAACTGAAAAGTCACTGAAAGCCGCCTTTCAGTTTTACTTCTATCGTGCGACCACAAGCTTACCCAACTGAGCGTTCACACAGGACCCTGAAAAGTTCATTACAGAAAGCCGCGAGCTGCATGGAATTCTGTACTTCTGGACGATACGCGAATTCAGTACCACCCTAATGTAAATTTTCAGCAAGACTTTCCATTTTACATCTCACCCCTAGTTTTAATGTTATGTAGAATTCGTAACCATTCTGAGTATATCGCATTTAAAGAACTTTAATCTCAAGGGTGTTAAGAAAGTTCATTCGATATTTCTTTTTAATTTTCGAAAAGAAATTCAATGAGAAGATACTTCACAGAGTTCATTCTTGCTTTGATAAGGTTTTAACTGTATTTTGTTGAAGCAAAAAGGGGAGGGCAGCTTTTAAAACAAATGATGTCAGAGCAGAAAAATCAGGGATGTGGCATATTTGTTTCATATCATTAAGCACACAGGTTACTAAAACCTTTCAAATACTATGCAAAATTTATCAAGTTAGTGAAGAATTTTAATATGATAAACCTTTTCTTTTGAAAAGTGATTAATCTCACGTTTACCTAAACTTATCAGCTTTGTATGATACAAGATAAGCTGTGAAAAAATAAATTTGAATTATCTTATATTTTCACACAACAGGTGCTTTAAAGATGCTTATATGTATGTATATGTATATGATAATTTTATAATGAATTCTTGCTGAAAATGAAATGCCGAAAATATAAAGCACAATCTTCTGATTTTTTTTTTCAGACTGAAAAATTACTTTGACATTTTCAAAAATATTTCACCATGGAACGAACTTTCTTACGACTCCTTACTTCGTCAGGAACATGGCTATTCTATTCTTTTTTGTACAGACACTTGTTTTTGCTTTTTTTTTTTTTTACCAACAACATATTTACATATTCATAATGTGTCTTATTAAATCTCTCAATCAATAATTAATCCTTAATCTAATTAATCTAATAATAAGAAAATACCCAAGAAACTCAAAATATCAAAATTGAAGCAAAAGCGTGCGACAACAGTCTACAAAGCGCATGAAATAAAAGGCATTCCGTATAAAGCGTGCATGTGTTCGTACAAAGCGTTTTGGGTAGACCATGCAGCGGTTCGTGCAAATTGTGTAGCAATCGTGTACCATCCAAGAAGAGAAGGTGTTGTGCAGTAGGACTTTTCAGTGTCTGTAATGATTGATTAGTTGTATATTGTTTAAAGTCTCTCTCGAGAACTTTTCACTTATATGGATACGCCAGGGTCTCTAATTGTTGGACCATGAATTGCAAATAAATTGTCAGTTTTCCTTTATTTCACGAACATAGCATGGAACACACCGCGGGTTAGAATGGTCGGCAGGGGATGTTCACTTTTTCAGGGCACCTGATCTTACCATGCTTTACGTCTGTGTTTGCTTTGATCCAATCAGTTTTGTTTGAATGGCCTTTTATATTCTGTTTACTGTTCGTTAGTCAAATATTTCATTACACTATTTGACATATCATACATAAAGACACTAGTATTTCAAAACATGCAATGATTTCATATGTGTTTTTTGAGTTTTGTTTTGTTTTGCGTCCCTCTCGAGAATGTTTCATTCATATACAGACATCTCCTGCGGATGGAGAGCTGCACATTGTGACGTATACTTGACACTCAAGGCAATCGAGCAGTGCAACAAGGTACTTCGGTTTATACGGTCTCATCCGAACGACCGGTCCTTACGCCCCAAAGTTGGACTGGAACCCACAATGTTAATATTAACTCCTCACTCTGCGATTCCAGAGATTGCTTTTTACAGGTAAAAACTACGTTACAAAAATAAAAAAAAACTTAGTTAATCTTAATTAAATTCCACTTTGCCTAGCGGAAATCAGTTTTTCGGATGAGACCGCGTGCATGAACCTAGATCCCATGTCGCAGAAGGTGCTAGCACGAAAAAAAATCCCTCACTGCTCCATGGCCCTGAGTACTGAGCATAGGACAGACTTTGCAGTTCTCCATCGGCAAGTGGTTGCACCTCCATATGAGTGAAACATTTTCGAGACGTACAGTATACATTCAATCAATCAATCAATCACCCCCCAAAAATCTCACTTTGATTTAAAAGTAAAGATAATTAATAGTAATCCAGCTTTAAAGTCTTATTTGTCATGACAGAGGGTGATCAGTTGTTAAGACAGTACTGGAGCTATGAAAATGGTTCAGTAACCCCTCATGTAAACACTATAATAAAAAAAAATAAATCTTCTTGAACACAATTGTGTTTACCGTTTTAAAGAGTAAAAAACAAATAATCTACTCTTCTGAGAAAAGTGATTTAACAAAACGTGTGACACACTTGATATGATTACCTGCGTCTGCATCACTTCTATTTGAATATTCAAACCCCCGTTATTAACGTTGATGATAATAGCATTACCTTAAGAGCATGTCTACGAGAAAACCATGCAAAAGGTTATGGGAGCAAGGTTCTCTGATCAACTTCATGTTTTGTGTGTAAATTTCTTCTATAATATGAAATATTTTTCCACAATTTTTTTTTTCAGTGTGGTCTCACTTAAGGGGTTAAATCGACACTGTTACTAAAAATAGAATTCTTGGTCCTTACGCAGGGTGAAAACAGGAATTTTATAGGATTTTATATTTAAAAATTCAGCATTTTACTTGATAATGATATAAAATATCCATATATGGTTGAAAGTAACAAGATACACTTGTTTTGGAATTTTTTTCATAATCACAAATTGTGCCCCCGTTTAAGTGCAAAAAGGTCACAAATCTGGCATATTTCAAGATTTTTGAAAACTGGTGAAAATATTCACTTTTCAAAAACCTATAACTCAGAAAGTGACGCTTAGAATCAACTCAATCACATACCAGTTATTGGACAACTAGTCTGTCTACATTGTACAAAAAATCTGTCTTTGAACTCTCAAATATTTTGCTGTACTTTTTACTTAAAGTTGGACATTTTTTTGTGAATTTTCAAATTTTCTCATCCCCGAACTTTCAGCAAGGAGTTATTTTGCTGATTTAAATATTTTCAAAAATTTAAATTTTGCTGTTGAAAAATACCAGTTTATTGTACTTTTTTGTTTTCAATCAATAATTATTTCTTAGGGGGTTGAATGGGGTTAATTTTTTTTTTTTTTTTTTGGGGGGGGGGTTACCAGAATTGTATTATTTTACATTTTCTTTGAGCAGGGTGATATTCATATAGTGCTTACTACCTGTTTGTCAATCAGTAGACCAAGTGTGTTCTCTCTTATCTTAAAAAACATTTGCTTGATAGACAATAAACATAATAAACTGGTACCTACTAATAAGTAGATGGCCCCTTTTAATTTGGAGTTCACAAAGTCAAAGGCCAAGGGTTATAATTCTCGATATACCAATATGTAGATTTTAATCATTCAAAATCTTTTTGACCCATTGCTTGACAGACATCACATTTAGTACACTGGTTTCTTGACAAGTAGAGGACCCCTTTAGATTTTGAGGTCACAATGTCAAAGGTCAAGTGTCAAACTGAACTGAACAAAAAGGAATATCAGAGCCATTTTCTTGACAGACATATTGTCATGGCAACAAACTCAAAATGAACGAACACTGCTTTAAAATTCAACAAATTAGAACATTTATAATCTTTAATTTCAGTGCAGATTAAAATTTGAATATTACTCAATAACTAAGTACATTCAACAACAAAAAAAGTACAATGCTTGACTGCTTCCTGATATTTTATATTCAGTTCCAAAATTAAAACGACCTTGAAATTTTGTATGTTTGAAAAAAATCTACTTGCTTAAGTATACATCATGGTTCTAAATTAAGATAAGATTTAAAAGAAAAAATCACAGTTTCCCAAATCATATTCTGAATTATTTCCTTTATTTACAATGTACAATTTACAATGTACAATATATTATCATTTATGTTATCTCTATGTATATATTCATTTTCCATTTGTTTTTCCTGTTTATTTTGTCTTTGTGTTACACTTTGTATTATTTTTTTGTTAACATTTTGAACCATGCATTATATCCTAAATTTCTTAGTCATGCAAACAAATATGTGTATTCAGTTACTGTAGTTTTTGAATGTGTCATAAATTTAGCAGATACCGATTGCAGCTTTTTGTTTGAAATATACTTATGTCACAAGGTAGATAATGGGTAACTCCATTGAACAATATCGTGCTGCAATCGGTCTTTTTTATTTATCTGGCAGATATACATCAAAACCATGTTTATGGTTGTTTTTTCCATGTGCATTTTTTCTGCAACTAACGAAAAATGTTTTTAGAAAACTTGCTCATTATTTGACATCGATTACCCTAAATACTGTGTACATCAACTTTTATTTACAATTTTTCACATTCGTTCTATTGGCATGTGGTGATATTGAGGTCAATCCAGGCCCGATTGAAAATGTCCTTGAAAATGTCCTTGACATTCTACACCTTAATATTCGCAGTATTAGACACAAACTAGATCACTTAAACTCTTTCGTTCATGACTTTGATATTTTATGTTTTACCGAAACTCATCTTGATCAAACGGTAAATAATGACGACTTATATTTGGATGGGTTTTATAATATAATACGAAAAGATAGGAACTGTTTCGGGGGAGGTGTCATGATCTATTTTTCTAGTCAAATACGTGTTATTAGACACTATGATTTTGAACCCTCTGACATTGAATGTATTTGTATTGAAATTGATAACCATACCTCTAAAATCTTTTTATGCTGTGTATATCGTCCTCCGAACTCGGATAGTGGTTTTTGGACCAAACTTGCATGGTGCGTTGATAAAATGAGTGAAAAATCGGATAAAATAATTTTAGTCGGTGATATAAATGTTGATCTCCTTACTACTCCACAAACACATATAATCCATGAAATTATCGCAACACATAATCTTGTTAATAATATCCACGAACCTACAAGAATTACACACACGTCGAGCACGCTCCTTGACCCAATTCTCACTTCAGTTGATATCCAAGTTCGTGAATCGGGTACATTAGTAATGGACTCTTCCGTAAGCGACCACAGAGCTACCTATTTATCACTTTCTTCGAACATAAATTACAAACGATCTTACAAAAGAAAAGTTTGGGCTTATAAAAGAGCTGACTTTGTTAAACTTAATTCTTTAATTGAAAATTGTGATTGGAATAAAAATATAAACGAGGCTCAGACAGTAGATATAGCAACAGAAAATTTTACATCTGAATATCTTGCGTGTGTTCGCGAATGTATTCCTGAACAAACGGTAACCATACGTCCTCGCGACAAACCATGGTTTGATTCACTTCTAAGGAAAACAATGAGAACTAGAAACCGACTTCATAAAAAAGCACACAAAACCAAAAAAGATTCCGATTTTGCCGCATATAAAGAGGTCCGAAATTCAGCAAACAATATGAAAAAATATGCAATATCAAATTATTATGACAATATTGATACAGCTTTAGATGATTCAAACAAAAATAATAACAAACTTTATTGGAAGTTGATGAAAGACACATTCAACATGAAAATGTCCAACGAAATCCCACCAGTCCAAATACATGATGATAATGGCGAAAAACACTTTGCTTATTCTGATATTGATAAGATTGAAGCAATAAATTCTTATTTTTCTTCCATTTCGACAATTGACGATTCAAATGAAACATTGCCAAATATGTACAGTTTGTGTAGGAACACATTCAGTAATATTGTCATTGAGGAAAAAGAAGTAGTCGATATCATATCAATTCTTCATGTAAACAAAGCCATAGGTCCTGACTGCATTAGTCACAAAATGTTAAAATCCACTGTTTATACTGTTGCTAAACCACTTACACTGCTGTTTAATAGGTCCCTATCAGAAAGTTTCCATTCTTTTGGAAAACTGCTCATGTTATTCCTTTGTTTAAAAAAGATGATCCCTCCTTAGTTTCTAATTATAGACCTGTGTCGTTACTATCTTGTGTTAGTAAAATTATGGAGAGAATTATTTTTAAACATATTTACAATTATATCCGTTGTAATAATTTGTTTTATCGATATCAGGCAGGTTTTTTACCAGGTCATTCAACTGTTTATCAATTACTAGAAACGTATCATAGTATTGTTCAAAATATTGATGAAGGTAAATCATGTTGTATGGTCTTCTGCGATCTTTCAAAAGCTTTTGACAGAGTTTGGCATAAAGGACTTCTTTTTAAATTACAAACCTACGGTATATCAGGTGATCTTCTGCAGTGGTTTTCTAGTTATTTGTGTAAAAGGTCACAAAAAGTTATGTATAAAGATCTGTTATCATCAAAACTAGATATTTTTGCAGGTGTACCCCAAGGTTCAGTTTTAGGACCCCTTTTATTTCTGATATATGTAAATGATGTTGCTGTAAATATGTTATCATTGTGTAGACTTTTTGCTGATGACAATTCACTTCAACATTCTTCATACAACATACTTGATATTGAATATAATTTAAATCATGATTTACATGTACTGGAACTTTGGTCAAATCAGTGGCTTCTAAAATTCAACCCTTCCAAAACGAAAGTAATTTTTTTTCAATAAGAAAAATATTTCTGTTATGCCTAAATTATTTTTTAAAGGTGACAGACTGTTCATCGTCATTTAGGTCTATTGTTATCACAAAACCTTAGCTGGACAGAATACATTGATAGCATTGTAAACAATGCTTATAAGAAACTCGGGCTTTTGAAAAAAACTAAAGTTTAAAATCGGCAGGACACACCTTTCAAAATTGTATATCACATTTATCAGACCCTCGCTCGAATACGCTTCAATTGTTTGGGATGGCTGCTCTAATAATGATGCCGAAAAGCTTGAAAGAGTTCAATTATCTGCAGCTAGAATTGTTACAGGCCTTCCAATTTTTGTATCAGGAGAAATACTTTACTCTGAAACTGGCTGGGAAACCTTGAAAGTTAGGCGCTATAATGCAAAAATGACCACAATGTACAAAATTCATAATGGTAGTGTACCTGAATATTTGAATGACATTGTTCCAAACAAGCGTGAACACATTTCAAAATATAATACCCGTAATAAAGAACAATACGCTGCCCCAAGATGCAGATTAGAATTATATAAAAGATCTTTTATTCCTGACGCTGTGAAACAGTGGAATTTATTAAAGACAGAAACTAGGGAAGCCATCTCACTCAATGCATTTCGAAAAAACTTTACTACAGAAGTAAAAAATCCCCCAATCTATTTTTCATTTGGCAAACGTTATACAAATATAATACATACTAAACTCAGACACAACTGTATACTTAAGGTAAGGTTTGCGTTTACAGGGAGATAACTCTTGCGAATCACCAAAGCGTTTGAAACAGGCGAATTTAAACCAGCGATGCTATGCATCTCGGTAACGAATTTCCTCTGTCATACTTGATGTTTGTTGTCACTTCTTATTGTTAGGACTAAAAACAAAGGACGTTTTCAGGAGAAAGCCTTATAACAAATCAAAGCATAGGAATCTTAGAAGCCTTTGAGATTAGCGTGATGCATGTGGATGAACCAATAAAGGAGGACTTGTTTATTTTCGATACGGAACGTGGCAAGTTGCACGGCCATTCCGATCAGAAGAAAGTCATTGACGCATTGTGCTGTTGTGTGTTTCTCGCTTCACCACTACACTAAACTTTTAAGGGAGAATGGGAAAGAAAAAAGAAAAGACCTGAGAGTATCCTGTAAAGTATTATGCTATATGCAGTCCGAACAGGGAAGAAAAGTCACGGTGCATTTGACCATGTCCAATAATGATGTTGACAGTTTGATTGTTGATAGTATTTTCATCAGGTAATTATTTAACTATTCATTTTACTGAAAGTTATGAATGATCTACTGACTACGGATTTAAAAACGATGAATAAACGGTACAAGGGTGTCAGGATGTGACTAATATCCCAACATTGCCAAAAAATAAAAATGCATTCATTCAAGAAATTATGAAAAATAAAATCCTTGCTTTTTAGGCCTAATATTTGTAACATTATTGGAACAGGTATTCAATTGTTCTAGTTACCTTTTTAAATGAGGTTTGATTTTAAATAATATCTCATTTTCTAATTAATAAAAAAGAGATACAGATTGTGCATGACAAGAACATTAATTTTCTTGATCAAGCATTTGTATTTCAATAATTCAATCTGTAAATTTTACAATAATTTCATATTGATTCTTCATTGATTATATTGGAAATTTATTCATTTCATTGAGTGAATGAAACTCAGTGCAATTCCTTATGCAATTCCTTAAATGTTATTGTAAAAATGAACACATATGATTTCAGATCATGGGTCATTAATTGGAATAGATAAGAACCAAAAAGAAAAGTACTTCAGTGTTTCCTTAAAAGATTTGTGCCATCAATCAAAGTAGAGGTCATCCCATATCAGCTCAAGAATATTAAAGAAAGTTGGATGGATCAAGCTAAGATGTTGTACCAGACATGGCAAAATCAATGGAGATTTGGAGAAGAACGTCTGACTTGTTATACCCAATGCATATTATTATATGTCTATAGATTATAGAAGGAAATTTAATGTTTAACAACATCCTATCTAGTATATACATGCTGTTTTCCATATATTTAGAAAATATGTGTATATGTGATGATTGCAGTGCATGCTCTGTTTGTCCATCTTTGAATTTGTTTTCAGTAAAATAAATGTATACATCATAGGTATTAATTGAAGGTTGATTTTTGTCTATACTTACATGTAACAAGTTTCGTAAAAGGGTTTGTAAAATTGCAAGGAAATTAATACACGAACAATTAAGATTAATATTTTTATTCATTAAATTTTGTTCTTACCAGGACCTAATATGCTCAAATAAGTATTTCTGAAAACTGATGAGTTTTGTACATAAAGCTGCAGTGAACATGTATGATTATATCTACTGTAACAGTTTAAAACATGACACTGACTTGGAAATTGTAAGGTTGTTAATTTAGTAGGAATGATAAGACCAGTTTAGTAATCTACTAAAATTAAAGTCTTTCACAAATACATGTAGTTTATTTTAAAATTGTTTACATTTATAATCTTTTAATTTTTTTCTGTATTTTGATTTTAAAAAGGAGAAAATTTTGTTATATTTAAATTATTATTTCATGGATATCAATGAGATATATCTATCACTGTAGCATTGTTTCTTTTTCCCTGTTCTTGACAAATATTTATGACAGTGTTATGTCATTTTGCAGAATTTGGCTTTTCTCTGAAATCAGAAGTACTCTGTAAACTCATTAAAGTATGAATTGATGTCACTTAGAATTCATCTTTATTTTGTTCTGCCTGATATTTCAATTTAGATTCTCAGACTACCTAATCCAATGATTGAGCTAATGTCCATGAAGTGTAGAAATAGGCCATCTTTAAAAAATGTTTGGTTGTCGGCCTCTCAAGACCGACTGACCAAAATGACCAGACTGAAAACTTTTTTTCAGTGCAGGGCCGTATTTTTTTTTCTTTTTTCTTTTTATTCCTCTTATCCCCCTTAAAAAAATGTTGTTGAAGATTTTCTCACCTACCGACCCAATAATTTTACCCTGAGTCAAGAGAGGGCAAACAAACATTACTTTAAAGATAGCATATCTACTCTTCGAAGTAAAGAAATCATTTAATTATAAAAACAGCAGCTTCGTGGATGCAATGCTTACAACATTTCACTCAAAAAATGGCATACATGTATAATGACAGTGACCAGCCATAACTGATTAAAGATATTTTGCTACAAAGATGTCTAGAAGTTACTAATGTTGGAGTAACTAAATCAGCATGAGGTCAAATTCATAGGCTTTTAATTGGTTTAGTTGCAACATGTTCTGAAGTATGTTTATATACATATACATGTACTTCTAAAGGTGTTGCAGTATAATTCATGGACAATTTCATCAGAATATTCAGATGTAAAGATTGCCATAAATACTAGAGTTCTTCCATGGAAAAAATTTTTAGACCATCATGTAGCACAGGAGGAGTTTTATTTTGAATATTTTTGGCCAATTTATGCCTAAAAACAATATCAAAAATAACATTTAGTCTTTAACATTCACCATGACAAGGTGATATCAATGTTGTCTTTAAAAGTGTAGAAAAAGCCTGATTTTTATGTTCCGAACCCATAATATAGCCCCTGCTTCCATGGAAATAATATTGGGGACATACATATATTTTTAGTTCAAATTAATGAAAATGATCAAATTAATAACTTCATGGATTTTGATGGAATCGGTAGATATGTAAAACGTTGATTTTTATATTTTTGTTGCCATGGCAACGGTTTCACTTTATCAAGGAAAATTGAAAAATCTTCTTTTTTACCCAAATTTTCACATTTTTGATAACGGAAAATTAAAAGTTTAAATAATAGAAGCATGAATTATACTAATTCAGGTCATTTTAATTATAAAAATTTGATAATTTATAAAATAAATCAATTTTTTCAATGAAAATAATATTCGAGGTGAAATATGAAATACGTTAAATTTGGCGTCTTTTACTAAAAAAATGGGATGGGCAATATCTTTCAAAATCATATTAAATGATGAAGTTAATCTCCCTGAATAAATTGATATATAGCATGTGTGCATATTAAAAAAAATATGAGTTGGAGGGAGACGCAAACCTTACCTTAATTATGATTTACACAAAAGAAATATTATTAATAGCCCTTTATGTTCATGTGGAAAGTATGAAGATGTTTACCATTTCTTCTTTGCCTGCAGAAATTATCCAAACGCTAGGAATAATCTTTTCAATTGCCTATTTTTACTTGACGAATTGGTCAATATTGACACAAATTTGTTATTATGTGGTGATGTAAAATTGCCTGTTGAAACAAACACATATATTTTTGCTGCTGTGCATAAATTTATTGACGAATCTTGTAGATTTTAAATTGTTATATTTCTGAACAAATATTCCACTTGTATCTTTTTTGTATTTATATCTCTATGTACTACATGTATTTTTATTGCATGACATATAGTTATATTTAAGGAGAGGAACTCGTAAGTTGAAAGAACTTGTTTCCAATCCTTTTGTTTAATACAATAAAATATGTTCAAAACAATTATTTGCTATACCTGTATACAGGAAATTAGTCTTTATAATAGTGTTATATTTGGTCTTTTCTAACATAACAAACACTTAAAAAATACTCTGAATTTTTGTGTATTCCTGCAAGTGAAACCAGATACATATTAAATATCAAGATGTTAACAATGTTTAAGTACATGTACCAATAAAATCGTATAAGTTAACATATATGAAATACCTTGAAATTTTTGCTACTACACAAGCTTCTTCAATCATAAACTGTCTTTTTTTCTTCATTTTTGGTACACCATTTGGGTTGATCTTGAGGTCTAAAGCTTTCAAAATCTATAAGGTGTATCCAAACTATTCTGTTCATTATGACCCCATTTTCTTCCTATGTAGCATCCAATAACTTCTGGAGAAATTGAAAAAGCACTGAAATTTCCACTCCTGGTTTAAAGAAGAACTGGACTGTCTCCAAAAACACAATAGTAGTACTCAAAGCAATTATTTGTGAAAAAGGACAGTTTTCAAATTAAATTGAAATAAACCATATTAGACATTTTAAAATAAATGTCATGTTTATGATAATGTTATATTTATATTTTTTAGGGATGTCAACGAGTACCCGGTTAACCGGGTACTCGATCGAACGTGCGAGTATCGAATACTAAAATCAGTACTCGGTTACTCGGATGTACATTTTTGAATATTTCTAAGCTTATTTATTAATGCATAAAATAGTCTGTTTTAAATCGTAAATTACTCATTCCACTTGTACATACAGTAATTAGGGTTTCCTA